GGAAACACCGTTTACCTTCCCGACAGAGTGGTACCTATTTATCTACTTGCACTTTGACATGCTTTCGAACTGCTAGGTAGGCAGGAGCAGGGACTGAGCAACGGGAGCTCACCCCGTCGTGGGGAATCGAACCGCCGACCTTCTGATCGGCAAGTCCTAGGCTCTGTGGTTTAACCCACAGCGCCACCCGCGTCCCTAGAAAGGCACATACTATCAAATAAAAGAGAAATCCAGAGGATTCACACATGTAAAACAGGGTCCAATCTTATGGGTTTGGGAAAGCCTGGCCAAAAAGATAAGCTTTCGCAAGACATGTGAACCAAATGATGGCTGCTGCTTTGTGTATGGCAAAGGGAAGGACATTCCACAATCCAGTGACAACAGCATAAAAAACACGACCTGTCATTCAGCGAAATGGCCTGCACCACAGCTTTCCAAATTTTTCATGTTGGTGACACACCTTTTAGACGTGCTTCATTTTGTGACACGGTGAATCAGTTTTACTAGCAAACGGGGGGTTAAACAAACCCCTTTCGCAGGGAGCCTTCACGCGACACACTGCAGCCAAAACACTAAAGTGTCGTGACACACAGTTTGCAAAGCTCTGGCATACATACATGCCGATCAAAACAAACTTGGTTCTAGACAGAGACATCTTCAAATACACCACCACCCTCACGCACAATGCTGTGGACCTAAACTTGCCTTGCTACACACTTATCTTGGGCAACAAGGAGGCAACGTATCATCATCATCATTACCATCATAATATACCCCGCCCATCTGGTCGGGTTTCCCCAGACACTCCGGGCAGCTTCCAACGGAACACTAAAATACAATAACCTATTAAAAACATTAAAAGCTTCCCTAAAGAGGGCTGCCTTCAGATGTCTTCTAAAAGTCTGGTAGTTGTTTTTCTCTTTGACATCTGGTGGGAGGGCGTTCCACAGGGCGGGTGCCACTACCGAGAAGGCCCTCTGCCTGGTTCCCTGTACCTTGGCTTCTCGCAGCGAGGGAACCCCCAGAAGGCCCTCGCCGCTGGACCTCAGTGTCTGGGCTGGACAATGGGGGTGGAGACGCTCCTTCAGGTATACTGGACTGAGGCCGTTTAGGGCGGTCTGCCACTTGGTGGTATAGCATAGGCATGCACCCCCCAACTCCTCCCCAGCTACTGATGAACCCCCTTAAAAGTTATAGCTGTCCTCTATGTAATGCCACACATAGGGGCAAGCACCATTCTACTGCCAACCTCTCTCCCGCTATCGATCCCCCCTCCCCCAAGAACAAGCTTCTCAACACCACTTGCCTCAGCCAGGCTGGTCTTAGCACCCTAGCCCATCACCCTCCCAGTTCCCAAGTGGAGAGGCGCTGGGGGAGGGCAGGGCAAAGAATCCCACCTCCCTCTCTACGGTTGCCACCTGTCCTGTATAATACAGGATTGCCCCGTATTTCAATGTAAAACGCTGCGTCCTGTATGGATAGTTTTGTCCTGTATTTCAGCTGTTTTTTTCTCCGCCAAGTTAGGGATCCCCTCCAAATGCACATGTCTGAAAGGTCATGTATTTAAGCTCTGGGTAGCCAAGTGCAGGCAGATTTACAAATCCACGTCTATGCGCTGTGACAAATTCCAGAGGGGCCATCCTGTTTGGCTGCAGTGGATTGTAATGGGATGCTTTGAAGTCAGTTTTTTGTGTTGAATATATGCTATATGGTAATTTATGGACCTAATAGGTATCTAAAGCCATTTGCACATAACAAAATATATATTTTATCAAAGTAACTGTTGAACTGAAATACAATTAGGAATAAGTATATGAGTAGTGAAATACAATTAAGAAGAAGTACACTAATAGTGAAATAATTATTAAGCTCTAACTTAAAATGATGTAGTTACAGGTAGGTAGCCATGTTGGTCTGCCATAGTGGAAACATAAACAATAAATAAAAATTCCTTCCTGTAGCACCTTAGAGACCAACTACCGTAAGTTTGTCTCTAAGGTGCTACTGGAAGGAATTTTTGTTTTTCATTAAAATGATGCTTTATTCATAACAAACTTAATAATGCAAACACATTGGCATTTGGTAATCACAAAAGTTCCTTTAGAAACAAAATTTACAAAGACTCATAATTTTTTTGGGGGGGCGGCCCAAGAGCATAGCTGTCAACTTTTCCCTTTTCTTGCGAGGAATCCTATTCAGAATAAGGGACTCTCCCTTATAAAAAGGGAAATGTTGACAGCAACGCCCAAGAGAGTGGGGCCCTAAGCTATAGCTTGTTTAGATTATACGGGACTGGAATGCCCCCTCCCGCACCTCCCTGTCCTGGATTTTTCTAGGACACCAGGGGCGACCCTACCCTCCTCCTCCTCGGAATCCCACCACCGCCCTCCACCTCTTCATCGCCCCCGCCACGCATGATCGTAGCCAGGATTATTTTTGGGGGGGCAGAACCTCAGTCCGCTATGTGTTTTTATTGATCTGTATTGATTGGGGGGGCAGCTGCCTCTCCCCCCCTCCCCAGCTAAGCCGGGGCTCCAGCCAGCCCTTCTTCACCACCGGCCCCAGGCCCGACGCAGACCCACCCACCTCCGTCACCCGCCGTTAGAGGCGCCATCGTCACCCCTCCTGCTCCGCCGCCGCCGCCGCCACGTGTAACAACAGGCTCGCAGCGCCGCCTCTCGGATACGTCATTGCAGCGCGACTCCAGAGGCGCAGCGTCCGCCTCGACGTCGGAAGTGGGGAAAGGAATCGCGGCGTGAAATAAGTCGCGGGCGGAGTGAGAAAAGTCCCCGGCGGAAGAATGGGGAAATGGCCATTTCAGAAGGTGCTGATGATGCCCAGCTGGCAGAACATGATGGGCCCAAGGGAAACAAGACCTAACCGTGGTTTGCTTTCCTTACCTCTATATGCAATCCACTTTTGTTGTTGTTTAGTCGTGTCCGACTCTTCGTGACCCCCTGGACCAGAGCACGCCAGGCCCTCCTGTCTTCCACTGCCTCCCGCAGTTTGGTCAGGCTCATGTTGGTAGCTTCGAGAACACTGTCCAACCATCTCGTCCTCTGCCGTCCCCTTCTCCTTGTGCCCTCCATCTTTCCCAGCATCAGGGTCTTTTCCAGGGAGTCTTCTCTTCTCATGAGGTGACCAAAGTATTTGAGCCTCAGCTTCAGGATCTGTCCTTCCAGTGAGCACTCAGGGCTGATTTCCTTCAGAATGGAGAGCTTTGATCTTCTTGCAGTCCATGGGACTCTCAAGAGTCTCCTCCAGCACCAGAATTCAAAAGCATCCATTCTTCGGCGATCAGCCTTCTTGATGGTCCAGCTCTCACTTCCATACATCACTACTGGGAAAACCATAGCTTGAACTATACGGACCTTTGTTGGCAAGGTGATGTCTCTGCTTTTTAAGACGCTGTCTAGGTTTGTCATTGCTTTTCTCCCAAGAAGCAGGCGTTTTTTAATTTCGTGGCTCCTGTCACCATCTGCAGTGATCATGGAGCCCAAGAAAGTAAAATCTCTCACTGCCTCCATTTCTTCCCCTTCTATTTGCCAGGAGGTGATGGGCCCAGTGGCCATGATCTTTGTTTTTTTGATGTTGAGCTTCAGACCATATTTTGCGCTCTCCTCTTTCACCCTCATTAAAAGGTTCTTTAATTCCTCCTCACTTTCTGCCATCAAGGTTGTGTCATCTGCATATCTGAGGTTGTTGATATTTCTTCCGGCAATCTTAATTCCACTTTAGCATTATCTAAAAGGGTGGATTTACAACAGGCGTAGGCAAACTTGGCCCTCCAGATGTTTTGGGACTACAGCTCCCATGATCCCTAGCTAACAGGACTAGTGGGCAGGTATGATGGGAATTATAGTCCCAAAACAACTGAAGGGCTGAGTTTGCCTATGCCTGATTTACAACCTCCATCTTCTAGGCTTCACAAGTATATCATGCCTCCCACAGACAAGACTTAGCTTGTCAAGTTAAACCAGTTTCACTGTATGTTTGGAAGGGTTTCCAGTCCCCCCCCCCTTTTTTCCTTTTACATGTCCGTCTGTCTCCTTCGCGTCTTCGCAGGAGTTTGTTTGTTTAATTCAGGCATCCCCAAACTCGGCCCTTCAGATGTTTTTTAGGACTACAATTCCCATCATCCCTGACCACTGGTCCTGTTAGCTAGGAATCATGGCAGTTGTAGTCCCAAAACATCTGGAGGGCCAAGTTTGGGGATGCTTAGTTTAATTCCTTATTGCAAAACAATTTACCAAACATAAACCAAAAAGCAACACAAACAAACCATAGACACTAACGGTAGCAACATATCGTTTGACATTACACACACTTTGACTTCCGATTCACCTCATTGTACTTTTTACACATTGCTGGTCTATACGCACTTGTTGTTTTTTCCTGTTACATACCAAGAGAAATTTTTGCTTTTATAATTTCCATGTAATTCAAGATTCAGTCTAAATCTGTCAGGAGATTTGCATTGTCACAGCACTTTTTAAGATATTCTTTAAATGTTGTCCAATCTTTTCTCACTTTCTGGTTTGAGTTTCCTCTTATTCTCCCATTTATTTTCGCAAGTTCTAAATATTCTATCATCTTCCCTTGCCAGCCCATTTTTGTGGGGATTGAGTCACCTTTCCAGTTTTTTGCTATTAAAGTTATAGCCGCTGTGGTTGCGTACATTAAAAAAAGGTTCTAAAGTTTTTACGCTCTCTGGGCACAAGGTTAGAGGACCTGATTATTTGAAACCCCCTCAGCAAAAGAAAGTGTCTCGTCCTCGTCACTCTCATCATTCCACTTCCCAACCCTTTCCTACAAACTCCCAACAACCACTCTTTGCCCCGCACATGGCGGCTCCTCCCAGCTGCGGCAGAGGACCGGAAATCACTATAAAGGTATCATAGTGACTGTGGGTTGAAACCTCTGAGGCAGAACTGAACTCCTCCCTCCCTCCACGGAGTCGGTCTGCGCGTGCGCAGTGCGTGCGTAAGGGAAAAAACAACAACCTTCTTCCCAGAATGCCCCACGAGAGCGTTATGAGTGAGGCGGAAGTAGATGCCAGGAAGCCCCGCCTCATAACAATGATGGGGCCAAGATGGCGCCTGGCTATAGCTGCGCTTGTGGGCTTCGTCGTTGCTGCCCCCGGGTAAGTTATGAGGGGCTAAGGGCGGGTGGAGGGCCTCGGGCATTTTGGGGAAGGGGAAAGGGGGGCTTCCAAGTGAATGGTGGTCACCTGAGCGTCGCATGGGTGAGTCCACACTGTACCTTTAAAGCGCTTTTATATGGCTTCCCCGCAAAGAAGTCTGGGAGATGTAGTTTGTTAAGGGTGCTGAGAGCAGTTAGGTGACTCGTCTATCCCCCCCAAGCTACAATTCCCCGAGTGGTTTAACAAGCACTCTCTCTTCTTTGGGAGCTCTGGAAAATGTAATTCTGGGAGAGGAATTTGATAAACAAATAATAATAGAATTGTAGAGTTGGAAGGGTCCCTGATACATGTGAAAAGGATCTAGGAGTCTTGGTTGACCACAAACTTGACATGAGCCAACAGTGTGACGCAGCAGCTAAAAAAGCCAATGCAATTCTGGGCTGCATCAATAGGAGTATAGCATCTAGATCAAGGGAAGTAATAGTTCCACTGTATTCTGCTCTGGTCAGACCTCACGTGGAGTACTGTGTCCAGTTCTGGGCACCACAGTTCAAGAAGGACACTGACAAACTGGAACGTGTCCAGAGGAGGGCAACCAAAATGGTCAAAGGCCTGGAAACGATGCCTTATGAGGAACGGCTAAGGGAGCTGGGCATGTTTAGCCTGGAGAAGAGGAGGTTAAGGGGTGATATGATAGCCATCTTCAAATATATAAAAGGATGTCATATAGAGGAGGGAGAAAGGTTGTTTTCTGCTGCTCCAGAGAAGCGGACACGGAGCAATGGATCCAAACTACAAGAAAGAAGATTCCACCTAAACATTAGGAAGAACTTCCTGACAGTAAGAGCTGTTTGACAGTGGAATTTGCTGCCAAGGAGTGTGGTGGAGTCTCCTCCTTTGGAGGTCTTTAAGCAGAGGCTTGACAACCATATGTCAGGAGTGCTCTGATGGTGTTTCCTGCTTGGCAGGGGGTTGGACTCGATGGCCCTTGTGGTCTATTCCAACTCTATGATTCTAGGATTCTATGATCTAGTCCACTCCCTGGCAATGCAAGACTGGACATTCCTTTGAAATGTTATAAATACCACTGCCCTGACTCTTGGGCGGTGTTGCAGTTTTGCGAAAAGATTCTACTGTAACCTATTGTTTTGCAGTAAACAACAACGGACTCCTAACTCCTCTTGTCTCTGAGTTTTGTTGGCGTAACTCAGAAGATAAGCCATTTTTGTCTTACAACATTAAGCTTAAGAGTCCGATGCTCCGCTGCAAGTCATGTCTAAGAAACAGAACAAGAGAGGAAAATGACTCCATCTGTACCTGGCAAGAGATATTTTATCTTAGGGTCATCACTGAAGGCAGCAACCAATGCCAAAGATTTGCAGTGTCTAAATATATTTGCCTGGGACATGTTCACCATACATTGAAAACAGTGCAGTATCACTTTTAAAAGTCATAGCTCCCCCCCCATTCACTCCCCCCCCTTTCTAAGCTACAAAGTCTCAAGCCTTGTGCTTCTGTGGAAGCTGTTTGATTCTTCTTCACCAAGATTTGTTCTTCTTTGTGTCTTGCAACGTGATCTTTAATTATTTTTTCCACCAATTTAACTGGAGCCGACACTAAGTTAATCAGATGATTAACAGATTGGTCACTGTGAGAAATGGCACTAGATGGACTTTTGGTTTTATCCACCAGGGCTGCCCACAATTGTCTTTAAAGTGACAGATTAGCCTGTTGCCTCCCATTACCTCTCATTTTAATCTCTCTGCAATGTTCTCTCTGTCTCTCTCTCTCTCTTCTCTGTCCTGTTTCCAGGTTGGCTGAAGTGGCTTTGGAAAGTGATGGGAAAAACCCAGGTGAGAACAGATAATTGTATCTGTTTTGGCTATTTGAGTTTGTGTTGTAGTTTGATTTCTAGCTTTTTTTGTTTGGAAGAACCAAGATGGAGTGGAGGGCAGGGAGAGGTATGATAAAATGGTGCTGCAAAAGATCTGAATGCGTGTCATTTCCCTGGCTGTGTGGCCCTTAATTTTCTGAAAACACCCTTGAGTATGATGCTTTAGCACAGTGTTTCCGAACCTTGGGCCTCCAGCTGTTTTTGAACTACAATTCCCATCATCCCTGACCACTGGTCTTGCTAGCTAGGGATGATGGGAGTTGTAGTCCAAAAACAGCTGGAGGCCCAAGGTTGGGAAACACTGCTTTAGCAGAATGTAAGGAGAGCCCTATGGCTGGATCAGGCCAGTGGCCCATCTAGTTCATCATCCTGTTCTTACGGTAGCCAACCAGATGTCTGGGAAGCCTGACATCAATAGTTCTCTGCCCACCTTCAAAATTCCTAGCCAAACACCCCTGCCTTCCACTGCCTCCTGCAGTTTGGTCAAACTCGTGTTGGTAGCTTCCAGAACACTGTCCAACCATCTCGTCCTCTGTCGTCCCCTTCTCCTTGTGCCCTCCATCTTTCCTAACATCAGAGTCTTTTCCAGGGAGTCTTCTCTTCTCATGAGGTGGCCAAAGTCTTGGAGCCTCAGCTTCAGGATCTGTCCTTCCAGTGAGCACTCAGGGCTGATTTCCTTCAGAATGGAGAGGTTTGATCTTCTTGCAGTCCATGGGACTCTCAAGAGTCTCCTTTAGCACCATAATTCAAAAGCATCAATTCTTTGGCTATCAGCCTTCTTTATGGATCAGCTCTGTGAATGTGTCTAATCCTCTTTTTGGAGCCATCCAAATTGATGGCTAGCTCTGCTTCTTGCAGGAACAAGTTCCGCAGGTTAACTGTGCGCTGCGGATTGGTCCTGAATCTTCCAATGTCGTTTTATTGGAGCCTATGAGTTCTAAAGGGATGCGGGTGGCGCTGTGGGTTACACCACAGAGCCTAGGGCTTGCCGATCAGAAGGTCGGCGGTTCGAATCCCTGCGATGGGGTGAGCTCCCATTGCTCAGTCCCAGCTCCTGCCAACCTAGCAGTTTGAAAGCACATCAAAGTGCAAGTAGATAAATAGGTACCGCTCCGGCGGGAAGGTAAACGGCATTTCTGTGCGCTGCTCTGGTTCGCCAGAAGTGGCTTAGTCCTGCTGGCCACATGACCCGGAAGCTGTACGCCGGCTCCCTTGGCCAATAAAGCGAGATGAGCGCTGCAACCTCAGAGTCGGCCACGACTGGACCTAATGGTTAGGGGTCCCTTTACCTTTACCTATGAGTTCAAATGTTATGAGAGAAGGAGAAAACAGAGCAGTTCTGCCGGGTCAGGCCAATGGCCTATCTAGCCAGTAAAACCACAGATAGCATTTTCCTTCATGGGTTTGCCTAAGCCTCTTTTAAAGCCATCCAAGTTAGTGCCCGTTGCTGCCGCTTGCAAGCGTGAGTTGCGTAGCTTAACTCTGTGCTGCATAAAGAGCTGTGTATGTCTGTTTTGTTGAAACTGACTCCTGATCTCCTCTTTGGCTTCCTGCAGCCAGTTTGCCTGGGGCCACGCCGTGTTGGCAAAGCGAGGATTTCGTGGTGACCCAGCAGTGCGCTCCCTGCCAGAGTTTTCAGGCGGTAAGTGAACCTCCCGACAGGAACAAAAGGTTGGGCAAGGGTAAAAACGAAACGCCTTAACTGCTTGCTAAAATATGCGCAAAAGAGATTGATGTTCCCACTTTCAAACGTATCTTATCCACTGTAGTGTTTAATGCTACAAAATAAGATAACGGACACAGCAGCTTCTATACAATAATAACACAGAATAATAATAATAATAATAAATTTTATTTATATCCCGCCCTCCCCAGCCGAAGCTGGGCTCAGGGCGGCTAACAACAATCCAAATAATCCAACATTCTAAAAACATTCATTATAAAATTAATTAAAATCAAATTAAAATCAAATTGATGGCAACCATTAAGCAAAATTCTGTGCAGATTGCCAGAGGAGGGGGTCAGGCTGCGCCCTGACCAAAGGCCTGGTGGAACAGCTCTGTCTTGCAGGCCCTGCGGAAAGATGTCAGGTCCCGCAGGGCCCTAGTCTCTTGTGACAGAGCGTTCCACCAGATTGGAGCCGCGGCCGAGAAAGCCCTGGCTCTAGCTGAGGCCAGCCTAACCTCTCTGTGGCCTGGGATCTTCAGGATGTTTTTATTTGCAGACCGTAAATTTCTCTGTGGGACATACCAGGAGAGGCGGTCCTGTAGGTACGAGGGTCCTAGGCCTATAGAATGATGTCCTATACTGAGTCAAGGCCAGTACTGAGCTCAGTATGGCTTATACCAGGGGTAGGCAACCTAAGGCCCGGGGGCCAGATCTGGCCCAATTGCCTTCTCAATCCTCCCCCCGGACAGTCTGGGAATCAGCGTGTTTTTACATGAGTAGAATGTGTGCTTTTATTTAAAATGTGTCTCTGGGTTATTTGTGGGGCATAGGAATTTGTTCTTATTTCCCCCCCCAAAATATAGTCTGGCCCACCACATGATCTGAGGGACGGTGGACCGGCCCCCTGCTGAAAAAGGTTGCTGACCCCTGGTTTACACTGACAGGTCAGGGTTCTCCAGGGTATCAGATGGAGAATCTTTCCTAGCCCTGCAGGCAGATCTCAGGCGTTGAACCTGGGACCTTATGCATACAAACCAGATGCTATATTCCTTCCTTTCAAAATAAAGATGCTAGTCCTCAAGATTCTGAATAAAAGGCTAACTTAAATAGGAAGCTGCCTTAACACTGACTCAGACCAGTGTCCCATCAAGCTCATTATTGTCTTCAAACTGACTGGCAGGAGCACTCCAGGGATCCAGGCAGGGCTCTCTTTCAGCCCCAGGTATGCCATTGCGGGTTGAACCCGGGTCCTTTGTGTGATGCAAAGCCAGTGTTCTATTATAGCAGAATGGGGATGGGGTGGGTTCCCCATGCCCCGGTCAGAAGCGATCAGCTCCTCTGTTGGTTATTGCAACAGAACCAAATTGCAGGCACTTGGCAGCAGTGTTATTTAATGAAACATGTGCTCTCGGTTGTAGAAAACGATGCCAGAATGCAGCGTGACGGGCTTCATTGAGCAGATCAACTGCAGCGCTTCCAAGAAGGGCGAATACAAGAGGTGAGCTCACTGGGAGGAGAAGAGCGGTCGGGCCTTGGCACCCCGGGGTGCTGCCTCTGACAGTGGCCAGCGGCAGACCCTGCTGGAGCAAGGGGTGCTTACTAATGTCGCAGATCAGTTACACAGGATGGCAGTGAAGGCGAACCTCTGGCAGTGAGAGACGGCCCTCCAAAGCTCTATTATCTGGCCCTTAAGGCTCTCTGCAGGCCACACACCTCACCAGCCCTGATTCATAGCCTTCTGGGCTGTGCCTGGCTGGGATGTGTCCCTGAAGTCTCTAATCGTGCCTCTTGCCTGCAATCTCTTGCCTGCAATTCCACCGCCTTGCAACCTCTACCGTAACTGATCTGTCATGGATGTTTTAGCTGAGATTCCCGCATTGCAGGGGGTTGGACTCGATGGCTCTCGGGGACCCCGATTCTACCCTGTGCTGCTAACAACTTCCTACTGAAGCAGGAAGGGCCCAGTAAACCTCTGGGTTAAAGGGGGGGGTGTGGAAATCATGGCAGTCTGAAAGCTGAGAAGCAAGAAGGTTTTTCTTCTTCTCTTCTCTTTTTGAATACCCCTGCCCTGGTGACAGCCAACCAGCTCTCCCATCTGTCAGGAATACTCCCTTCCATTCTGGTTTTCTGTTCCTCCTGACAGACAGCATTCCATGGCCGCTGAGCAGGCTTGTTTTGCAGGGGGAACTAATCCCTGAAGATCCCACCCCCACCCAATACTTGTTCTTCTGCAAACGTCAGAGATTCCATGAGCTAGCTTTCATCTCGTTTCAGTACGTTTCTGAGCACAATTCAAAGTATTGGTGCTGACCTTTAAAGCCCTAAACGGCCTCAGTCCGGTATACCTGAAGGAGCATCTCCACCCCCATCGTTCTGCCCGGACACTGAGGTCCAGCGCCGAGGGCCTTCTGGCGGTT